GTCGTTAGTGCAGTACGCACCGGCACACTGCAGTAATCCGTGCATGAGAAGAATGGGATATTTACGGTTCGGCCGCGAAAAGAGCCCGGGGTCCTTCTTCCCCGTAAACACTCCGGGTCCACGAGGAGCCCTCGCATCGGCAGGCAAGGGCATGTACTCCTGTGGGTTATAAACATGCCACAGAGTGATTATAAATCCGTCCTCCGTCTGTACCCGGAACGTCTCCACGTCCAGGCCGACCCTACGGGCGTAGTACGCCACATCGCATACGACCGGATCTTTCCCACCTTCCAGAGGCGGACACTCATCGGGAGCTTCTTCGTCGACTTCCCTCTTCTCCTGCCGACGCTTCCACTTCTGCAAGTTTTTCTGCCTCTCCAACGCCCGTGCTCGCTCCTCCTCGTAGAACGCTCGTTGCTTATTGGGATCTTGGCCTTGGAGGCGGGTCTTGACGTGGGAAACAGCAAGTCGGGTCCTGCACACAAGTGCTCCGACAACCACAGCACCCAGAAACAGCAGCGATAGCAGGAACGACACGCATTGCAGCACCAGACACTTTATGGTAAACACGAAGGAAGGCGGCCCGTACGAAGGCAGCGGTGGAAATAGCGGGTGATCCTGGGACGGGAAGACGTAGTTCTTGGGCTGTTTCTGCGACACACTCTGCTTCTGCTCGGAAGGACTATCGGTCCCAGTTGAGCCGCTGGTCTTCTTTGCGTTCCCGTCGCATGTCGTGTTCAGCTCTTGTAGCTCTAGTCCCGGTTGGACATTCTTGTCTTCTATCGGGGAGATATCGGGGATTACCCTGGTCACAGTAGCTGACATAGACATTCTTTCGAAAGGTGTCGGACTGTCCGTCGGTTCGCAGGATAGGAGCGGCACTTTGTATACAGAGTCGGGGTCATGCTCTGCAGCCGAGCGGATCAGCATGATCGTAGTTAGGAAGTGGTAGTAGCGGGGGAAGAGAAGGACCACTTCATCGTATCTCCCTGGTGACCGATGAACTGGGGGGGGAGGGGGAAAGGAGGATAAGGAGAACGACAGGAGGAAGTTGATCATTCCCCAGTCGGTCCCATGTTGCCCTTCCTCATTGGGAAGCGCCTAAAAAAGGGATCGACACGTGAACGTGGGGAAGCGCTACGTAAGCCATGGTGCCTCAGGCAACAGCCAGGGTCCAGTTTTAGGGTACGGGAAGAGCCGGTGGGAGACACGGTCAAGGTCAACTCCACAGTTCAGCTACAGAGTCCGGATCCGCTCTTGATATCGTGAGCCTGTTTATTTATTTGTTGTCTCCTCAGAACTGTGCACGGTGACGGTTGAGTTGTAACCTACGACTGATGACAGACAATTCCATGATGAACTTCGAAAAAGATAATCCTTGGTCAAAAGAGCAGTGCGAGAAGAATATTATATAATACAAGATATTCAAGCTGATCGTGATCCAATCATCATACCACGTCTCTCATCACCAAGATAACGTTTCGAACCGCCACTCGCTAGGTATATAAAGGCAGTGTAGGCACCATGGAAACGAAGAAAGAAGGAAAATAAACACCGAACCCAAAACCCAATTCACAAACGCCGGCGTATGCTCTAGGCCTTCTCAACATGCTCCAGGTCGCGCTTCATCTGGGCGTCGACCTCCAGCTCAGTGAGGTTGCCGGACAGTTTGCCGGCAGCCACGTCCCGGACGTCCGCGTAGCTAACAGATGGGACGAATTCCGTGGAGCGCCAGGCCACAGGAATCTTGGCGTAAAGCTCATCCACCTGCTCCAGACTCAGGCCCTTGGTCTCGTAGATGCAGGTGTAGACGAAAACACCGGCAATGAAGCAGAATCCACCCCAGATGAAGAACACCTTGGACTGCAGGTTGGCGTTGCCCGGGCCGGAGTTGACCATGTAAGGGGTGGCATATGCGATGGCCCAGTTGAGGAGCCAGTTGGTGGCGGTCGTGATCGAGAGACACTTGGCACGAGCCTTCAGAGGGAAGAGCTCACCAGTTACCACCCAGGCGGTGCAACCCCATGAGCAAGCGAAGAAGAAGATGTAGACACAGACAAAGGCGATCAGCACCTTGTTTGCGACGTCGGAGGTGGTGGCGGTGCCAACAATGGCGACGATGAGCTGAGACACACACATGCCGACAGCACCGAACAGGAGAAGAGGACGACGACCCCACTTCTCGACCATATAGAGACCGGGGAAGGTTGAAACAACGTTAACAATGTTGGTAATCAAAGTAATGATGAATCCGTCCTTGATGCCGGAGTGTTCAAAGAAGGTAGTTCCGTAGTAGACTGTAAGATGTTAGTTGGTATTCAACATGGTGGTGAGGGGCGGGAGAATACATACAGATAAAGTTGACTCCGGCCAGCTGCTGCAGAGCCTGAACAGCACAGCCAGTGGCCAGTCGCTTGCCGATGCTGCCACGAAGAATAGAGAGGTAGCTCGCATTGCCCACACTGAGTTCATATTCGTGGTTGGCTTGGATCTCAGCCAGCTCCTCCACAATAGCAGGATCGTTCACGTCGATGCGGCGAAGGCGCGAGAGAGCCTTGGCAGCAGCTTCGTGCTTGTCCTTCTTGATCAAGAAGCGAGGCGTCTCCGGGAGCAAGATCATGCCGACCACCAGGATGATAGCCCAGGCGAACTGAACAGCGACAGGAATACGGTAGCTACCAGTGTCGTTACGGCCCTTGGTGGCATTGTTCACAATGGCAGCGAGCAGCAATCCAATGGTGATAGCCAGCTGGTAGGCACCAACAATGGTACCACGGATCCACTTAGGAGCGGTCTCGGACTGATACAGAGGAACTGTGGTCTGTTAGCACACTATCCTCGAGCTTGCGAGGTGGTTATCGTTCATGACATACTGGTTGCAGACAGCAATCCAACACCCAGGCCCGCAAAGAATCTTCCGGCAACGAACAATGGGATAGCCGTAGCAGCGGTCTGGAGGATGACACCAAAGCAGAAAACAAATGTGTTGATGATCATCGCAAGCCGACGACCGAAATAATCCGCAATGGGTGCGGCACCCAGCGCACCGAAGAAAGTCCCTGCAGACAGGAGAGACACGATCATGGAGGACTGAGAGGAGGTCACATCGGGGTAGTTGTCTGACGGGTTAATATAGCCCGTGGAGAACAGCTTGCGCCAGTACGGCATGGCAAGAATGCCGCTGATGGTGCCGGTATCATAACTATAGGGCCCAGTCGTCAGCCTCCCGGTCTATGAAAGAGAGTATAGAGGGCCAGCTTACCCAAACAGCACACCACCAAAGGCAACAAACAATCCAATCATGATAGCCGGGGCGGCAGAGCCCGTGGCATCATCCGGCTTCTTCAGCATGAAGCCCATGGTGAATGTCAACACGGACTGGGGTCAATCTAGGGAAAGATTCTTCGGCTGTGGATCAATACGCAAGGAGAAAGACGTTGGAACGAGAGGTGGAGAGAAAAATGAGATACATGCTCTCCATGGGGAAGGGGGTCATGGCAGAGTTTTTGTACTGCTTCAGACAGGAGGTCGCCATAGCCAATCTTGACCCGATCCGGTCATCATGGAGAACAACTACATTAAGGAGCCGGCCGAAACCAGCGCTATCCCGCATTTTCAGCCAATCGAGGGCACGGGATCAGCCTCGTATGGGCTGGCGTTGGCCGCATGAGGGATTAATGGGCACTTTCGGCCCTAGACCTGCGAGATGTGTCTCTCTCCGCGCCACAGCCCCGAGTCTGGAGAAGACGAACGTTTGACGGCGTGGAAAGTGGAGGAGGTTTGCACGAAGCTACTGGCGCATAGATACGAATGATTGGTTCGAGGGAAGTAAGCAACATGGCCGAGGCCCAAGTTAAACCACGGGCATCGAACGATTCTGGAACTTGGCACGCAGAGTGGAGGCCCAAATACGATGGATAGGTTTTTCCCTCCCCATCTACGGGATCCTTTGGTCGCACCGTGACGGCAATCCGAGCCACGGGACAAGAACGCCAGTGGCAATCAGGATAAAAATAAAGTGTTGAGGGGAAAAAAATTAATCATGGCGGAGGGAAGCCGAGAACGGGAGGAAGTTCTCATCAACGATGCCGAACGCGGCCAACCCGTGACCATGCCGAAATCACCACTTTTCTCGTAATATTAATAATATGATTCGGATCAAGTCACATCGCGAACCGCTTCACCTCCCGAGTTTTCTTCTGGTGTATCGGAAAATAGATGCCACGCTCTGGCAGTGTGACCGGATCGTGTCGAAAAGGGAATACTGCACGACCCCATAACACTCCCTCCTCAGCTCCACGACTCCATCCGGGGAAATGGATCTAAAGCATGGAGGAAAGATAGCCACGTTCACGACAATCCGGAGTCTCACCGGTGCCATTTCGGGCAGAGAGTGTCGTCTCGACGCACAATGACATTGTGTCGAGGGTGTTGATGTGACATGGTTGAAGCAAATTAGGGCTTTTGCCACTGGAGCACTGGCCGTACGCGTCGGGGCTCTGATTGGGAGAGCCTTGTAGATCTAGTCTCAGATTCTCCGACATTTTCCCGTTTGGCGTCGTAGAAGTTGCATTTTCCATGGCTAGCCAACACGACGGGGATCAGCCCCTAACCCTATCCAGATGGACTAACGCTTAGGCACCAAACTAAGATGTGGATTGACTTTGTGGGCAAATATTGACTATCGGGCGGAACCATGGTTGCGCCTCGAAGGTAAAACATCTCCTCGCGCACTCCCCCACAGAAGAAACCCCTTGGAAAGAAAACAAAGGAAAAAGAAAAAAAGTTAAAAGTGTAAAACTTTGTCGAGCATGGTTCTGGGAAACCTTTTCCAGTTCGTGAACCGTACAGAAGGGACTCCAGGTTATATCGTTGGTGAAAGTTAAGTCTACAAGCAATGATGATAAGAGACACATCCGATGCCTTTTGTATATACAGTATAGTAGTAGTAGTAGTAGTAGTAGAGACTCCGATGTGCACCCCCTCCTCCACCCCGGTCGTTACCATCGCCAGATCAAGAAGAAATACCATGCAAACACAATCGTAGCCACATACTGGACCGAGTCTACAAATTCTCCCCAGATTCCCCGGGAAGCGGGGACCTTAGCTTTCCACTTCGCCTTGTCCACGTCATCGTGATCTGGACCGGAGTAAGCATCATCATCGTCCACTTTGGGGTAGCGAGAAGGTGCATTGATGGCACGACTGGCCAAGCCACCCGGTGAGGGAAACGTGGAGCTAGACGTACTGGAACTTGGGGTCTTGCCGGTGTGGACCTGGAGGGGAGGGCGAAATTCAGAGAGGGGAAGAATGGGTGCAGATGAGTCCACTGCGGGGAAGTAGAGCACAAGAAGGGCGGCTCGTGCGAGAAGAACAGCAAGGGTAAGGCCGAATAGAAGGCCGTAACGGATGAAGATGGACAATTGGTCGGGCAGGAGGCATAAGTGGTTTTGCAACGTAGCGCCCGTGCTCATTGAGTGAGTCGGCTTCCCGGTGGCAGGGTCAACAGGGTTCCAGAGACTGGTCAGCAGAAAGCCTGGCCGCCGGACCCCCATAGCCCAGGAGAGACTCTTGACTGTGATTTCTTTCGGTGAGCCACTAAACTCGCGATGAGTGACCTCGCAGTAATCGTGGTCATCCCCAGAGTAGACATGGACAAGATTCGGGCCTGCCTTCGTGACCAAGTCCTTGGAGATGGTTTGCGTGAGCACATTCTGATACTGGTACCCAGCAGTGATCGAGAGGGCATTCCGCTCATCTTCTTCCGGTTCACCATCTGAAGGCGGATAATGCTCTCGCAAAGGCCCGCAAGGCGTGGCCGGTTTGCGATACAATGGAACATGGGTAAGGAGAATGGCAGGGAACCCTACAACCTCCGGTTGGAGTTTTTGATAAAGCGTAGGCTGCGAGAGGTCCACGACTTTATGGTCAAACACATGGCCTTCACTTTGGTTTCTCATGAGGCGTAATTCTCCCATTTCCGCCTTGCCACGATGAACATTCATGTTGTTCAGGAAATCCTCTGCTTCCTTCCAAATACGCTCGTTTGGCGGATGTCCGTCCCCAGACCCTGAGCTTCCGGTCTCTGGGTCAGGCTGATCCATGGCGCTCAATGATACCGTGTCGACCGAAACAAAAGTGTGGTTGCCAATAACGTCAACGCGATTACTTTGGCCAAAATAGGTCTGGAATCGATCACGTACGGGCAGCTGAACCCCGGTTCCGAAACCCAAGTCGTGATTCCCAGGGAGACTAGCGATCATTCTCCGGCCACGGGGATTGCCTGAGTGCGGATCCCCCTCATTCCACTGGTTCGAGAATATCCTCACGAACCGATGGTACTCATTCTTCCAGAACGAATCCTTGTATTTCTGGTAGCGCTTCTCGGGACTGGAGCTGTGCGAGGTTGCCCACTCTCTTCCCCCATCAAACAGGTCCCCGAGAAACAACACCGAGTCCGGGCCCAAATTTCTTTGAATAGATGAAAAGGACCGCCGAAGATATTGATCGGTGAACTTCACGGTTAAAGTGGACAAGGGCCATGGCCGACCGGGGTAGGTATGAGGGTCGACCAGCTGCGGGTCTGCGATGAAAGCAACATGATGTGGCGCTGCCTCTCGAGGCTAAGAATAGTAATCTCGAGTTAGCTACAGGTTATTCCCGCTGGGTTGGTTATTCGGAATGAAATACTGACCCAGTTTTCCCAGTTTTCCCAGGCGCACTTCTCCAAACTATCCTGGAACACGGCCCGTTCCCCCCACCAGAGCGTAAAGAACCAGAGAACAGCCAGGGTATTTGTGACTGTGAATATGCGTCTGAATACCCTCCATAGCCGTGCTGTTAGTGCATGACTGCCCCGAGAGTTCTCGGTGGTGGTGAAGCTCCGGGCAGTCCAATGAGCTTGGAGTTCGGCGACCCATTGTCGTAGCCACGGTGGCAAAGTGTCGAGGAGACGGCGGTGGCCATTAGATGAGTCGACATAATAATCGCGACGGGCTGGACGGTAGGCATCCGCGTTCGCGCTGTTTGGATATGAATAACTCATGCTTGCTGTGTCAATCCAAAAGTGGCCAAAGCGAAGCTGTCTGCGGCATTGCTCCGCCTCTACACGGGAGTTGTGACAGGATGTCGGCAAGTGGTGTAGTTAGTTCTCATTGGGAGAACATCGACACTCAACGTTTCAAATTGTGAACACAGAGCATCATGGTCAACCGAGGGTGAAGTGAACAACACAGGGGGTCTCCGGGCCTGGAGATCTCCACCGACCCGCGGAGGTAGGTCACGTGATGGCACCGGCGGTTAAGGTTGGAACAATCGTGGGTCTAGACGTCTATTAATAGTTGCCTTTGTTTTCTCGATCGACCGTCCACCCGAAGAATCGCTTTGTATAATACTATTGATGGCCAATCTATAACCATGTAGCTGGAGAAAATAAGAAATAGACACTCGAAGTCGAGCTGGTATGAA